CCTTCTCTGCTTTATTTTTTCTGTAGAATTTATTGCCATCTACCAGAACAGACTTATTTTACTTTTTTGTTTGCCTCTATCTGCCAATCAGACTATCAGCTCCTCAAGAGAAGGATTTTTGTCAGCTTTAGTCATTGTTGTGTCCTAGCACCTAGGAGAGTACCTGACATATATGAAGTGCTGGATAAATATTTATTGAATGAATGAATGTCTACCATATGCAAAGCATCAGCTTTAGGTGCTAGTGGAACAGAGATGAATAAAGTTACTTAATCCTCTGTACTTCTGGCTCCTCTTTTATAAAATCAGGGTAATGATATACTTCACGGGACTGTTATGGGGATTAAATGACTGAAGATTTACGTAATGCTTGGAATAGTGCCTGTAGTAAGTGCTATATTAAGTAAACCAAATTTTATACATGCCTTTAAGAAGCTTGCCTGTAGTGGAGAGGAAAACATATCTGCAAACAAGCACAGAGTGTGCAGTGGTAGTGCAGAAGGTGGGAAGGGTCCATTTTCCCTGAGGGCCAAGGAAGCCTTCACAGAGAAAGTGATAGTTAATGTGAATCTTGGACAATGAAGAAGTACTTACTAGGCTAACAAGAAGGGCGTTCCAGGCTGAGGACACAGAAGAAATGCTTGAATCAGGAGATTCAGAGGTAAAAATAAAACTGTCCTCCCACCTTCCAGAAAGTGACGTCGAGAGTTGTCTCAATAAACCCAGCTTGTTTTGCTGACTTTATGCTTTAATTTCTTTATTATGTAAGGGAAGGCATTGGTAATCCTGAATATCAAATTGTAGTCAATTTATTGTGTAGGAGAGGAAGTTTCGGCGATTGTTACACCCTGGGGAAATGTTTCTCCCACTCTGTTTGATGCATTTGGTGAAAAGAATCTGTTAGCAGTAAGTCACCTTAATATTCTTGAAAGAATCTTCAAGTTTTGTATATTTGTGTAGTTCATTGATATTTCTAATATCTTATCTGCTGACACGGTCACTGATAACTATTTTGCTTAAAGTATTCCATTAGAATTCATTTGTTTATAAAAAGCACTCTGATTTCTATTTTACCATATGCTTTATCCATTTAATTAATTAGTTAACTAAAAGTAGTTTTTATTTATTGTTACAGTGTTAGAAATATTATCACTAATTATTTTTAAAAATAAAATAACCCTAATGTCCATTTAAATGTTTTCCAAGAGACTTTTTTTCTACATTAAAGAAATGTTACGTAGGGGCAACATTACTTTACACACCTTTGACTAGGTTCTTTTAAGTGAACAACCTAGAAATCAGTGAAAAGAGACCTTACAGGGAAGTGGTCAAGGGGTCAGCCAGGAAAGGCAACAAGAGCTATGCAGTATGCACTGAGCCCACAATTAGGTCTGGCCAGTTTTCAAGATCCGGCCCAGAAACGCACTCCTGCCAGTGTCCTGGGAGCAAGACTTGAGAGACTGATTCATGCACAAGAGACAGAGGTGGACATCCAGATGCTACTTTATTCACTTACAATGAGAAGTTGAATTCTCACATGGACTAGAATACTCTCATTGGCATAACTGGCACAGTTTCTCCTTTAAGTAAAGACAAAGAGAGGCAAATTCATATTCAGAAAGTACTTACTAATTTTCCATGAGAAATCTCTGTCATGGGAACAGAAACCTCAGTTTCTGTATGATCTGTTTATTTTCTCCCCAAAGACCACCTAAATGGGAGTCAAATCATAATCAGAATGTTGGTCAGTAGTAAGAATAAAGATCAGTCATCAAACATATGGAACTGGACCAAAAGACTCTATGGCAGACAGAATACAGGCCTCCAAAGATGTCCACACCCTAATACACAGAACCTGTGAATATGTTACCTTACGTGGCAAAAGGGACTTTGCAGGTGTGGTTACGTTAAGGATCTTGAGATAAGAAGATTATCCTGTATTATTGAGGTGAGCCCAATATAATCACAAACATTCTTATAAGAGAGAGGAAAGAAGGTCACAGGTAGGAGGGTATGTGAGGGCAAAAACACCAAGAGATTGAAGTGACACCAGAAAGGGGCTATGAGCCAAAGAATATAGGAAGCCTCTAGAAGCTGAAAAGTCAAGGAAATGTATTTCCCCCTGAAGCTTCGAGAAGGAATATAGCACTGTTGACACCTTGATTTTAGCTCATAAGACTCCTGACTTTCAGAACTATAATAGAATAAATTTGTATTATTTTAAGCCATTAGGTTAATGGTAAATCATTATAGTGCAAAAGAAAACTAATACTGACTCTGAGGCATTTTAGGATTAGATTCAGTGGTGATAGGTAAATCTCCCTAAATATAGTAGCTTGAACAAGATATATGTGAACAAGTTACAATCTCTCATAAAAATAAAGTCCAGATTAACAAACCCAAGACTGATACAGCAGGTTCAGCATCACCAGGCACCCAGGCTCCCTCTATCTTGTTGCTCTGCCATCCTTAACATATGATTTCAACACCATGGTTCAAGATAGCAGCTTAATCTCCAGCTAGCACATATACATTCTAACCAGCAGTAAGAAGGAAAAGGTAAAGGGAAGCATGCCCTTTCCTTATAAGGAAACTTGTTGAAAGTAGCAAATACCATATTAATCTGCATCCTATAGACAAACATGTAACCACACGTAGTTTCAAAGGAAGCTGGGAAATATAATCCTTATTCTGGGTGATTTTGTACCCATCGAAAAATAAAGTGTCCTATTTCCAAGGAAAAAGAAGAGAAGAAATAACAAGGTGCTGCTTTAATACCTACCACAGCATCAATCTTAGTTGAGATTATATTACAAAAAGAATCAAAGTCCTCAACAATCCATCAGCTGTCACCCCTGCATCCATCTCCATAGGAACCAGAAACAGGCAAGCTAAGACTTCCTTTCCTCTACCCTGAACTTAGGTGGGTACTGCCACTTTGGTCTATATGTTTGTGTTGTTTTTTAAATCTAGGAATAGGAGGTTAATCAATCTTTTTTGACTGATACCTTTAGAAATATTAGTATATCTTCAATCAGGTTATTGACATTTTAGCTGGCCCCAGTCAGTCTGTCTCTTTTAGGTAATTACACATTTTTCTGCCATAATCCTGCAGTTTATTCTCAGGGAGCAGTCTTATTTTCTCATTCATGAGTCCTTGGAAGTTACTTCTCCATGGTCCTAAAGGACAGTAATAAATTATAAAGGGGAAACATCTGCCAATGGGGTAAAGCCTGGTGCCAACAAATAAGTTTCACTCTTTTTTTTTTTAAGTATATCTTTATTGATTTCAGAGAGAAGAAAGGCGAGAGAGAAAGAGAGACAGAAACATCAATGATGAGAGAGTCATTGATCGGCTGCCTCCTGCACACCCTGACTGGGGATCGAGCCCGCAACCTGGGCATGTGCCCTGACCAGGAATATGAACCCCGATCGCCTGGATCCTAGGTCAACGCTCAATGGCTGAGCCACACCCGGCCGGGCAAGTTTCACCCTTTTGTATGGTCATTAATAATGCCCAGCCAGTCCAATCATAGAACTACCTGAAAATTGCCCAAATGGAGCAAAATGTGATCATGTAGATGGTTGAGTATAAATTGAATACCTCTGTTTGAAAGACAGTTGTGCAATTTGTTTTTGAAATTCTTTTTAGCTAGAGTCAGGGCTATTCTAACGAGTAGGTGAAGTGATATCTGTGCTCATGGAATTACAACATGGTAGGTACAATTAATATCCTCATTTTTCTGATGAAGAAACTGAGGCCTAGAGAAATTGAGCAATTTGCCCAAGGTTAGGGCTATTAAATGTCAGAGTGAGAATTCAGACCTCTTAACTGGAGTCTGAGCTCTTAACCATTACATTATTGATATTACTTGAGAAATATGGGAGAAGTTTCTGCTGTAAAATATTTGCCCGTTATTTTTCAAAATGTCTGAAATTTCAAACATTCCTTTGGTCTTGAAAAGCAAATATACTCAGAAAAGTAAAGCTAACTTTTTAGAGAACCCGGGGTGGGGGGAAATCATCATGTTCTTTCTACCTACATGACCAACACTTTACACTCAGGCCACCATCATTCCTTACCTGGATTACTGCAATACCCATCTGTGGAAACCAGTTAGACATGAGCAGAGCAGAGATTGTGGGCCAGATACAGAAGGTCACCTGAGCAAAAAGCCTTGGGTACCTAGCAAAGGGCAAAACTGGGGGAAAAAGATCTCACCCCCAGGGTGACCTTTCCTCCCTTAGCATATCACTGGTCATGCAGTTTAAACCCCATGACTTTTCATGTTGCGGATCATGCCGTTGGAACCTTGCTCTGACCTTTCCTCCCTGGCATGTTGCCAGTCATGTGGTAGACCCCTTTAGAGGAAGAAGAAAGCAGAACAGCCTCATACGTCCCCCATACAAGCCCTTGCACGATAACCTCCTCCTGAAGCATTAAGCCCTAGAGATAACATCTAGGCCTCGGTTATGTTTCAGCTCCAGGCCCAGAAAAGCAGCAAAACCAGACAAATGATGCCATGGCTGACATCAGGACCTGCTGCATTGACTGATGACGCCCTGCCTACGGATTATGACTCTGAAAGGACACACCTGGAACGCTGATGAATATTCTATTGGGATCCTCCCCTGAGACCTCCAGATAAATACCCTCAATATGGAGGACCCAGTTTGGCTCTCTCTATGGAACATGCCTGTGCCTTTCCCCGCCTTCTTCCCACACCCCCTTCCCCCCCCACCTTCCCACACCACCTTCCCCCAGGCCCATTTTCCTTACTTCTGTCTTTCTTCCAAGCTCTAGGGGCCCTTCTTTTGCCTCTGTAACTTGTTCCCTGAGCCCACGCAACTCAGCTGGCTCACTTCTTCCATAGCTCACTTCTTCTACCTCTGTGATTTTCTAAATAAACTTTCACTCTTATTTGAGTTTTGGCTCTGAATTCTTTCTTAGCCAGGACTCAAGTACTGAGGTTGCTGAACCGAGGTCAAGTCTGACTCACCAGTCTAAACCTGGTTCCGTTTTTGCTGCCACCAACACATCCAGCTGGTCTCCACACTCCCAGGATGGCTCCTTCCAATCTGTTCTCCACATTACAGCTGGAAGGATCTTCCCCAAATGCAGATCTGATTATGTCATTGCCCTGCTTAGACCCTTTCAGGGACTCTTCATTGCCTTCAGCTTGGTCTACACCAGTGATTCTCAACCTATTAGACAAAATTTTATAATAAATAATTTTCATCATTCTCATCACCCTTACTATCCTGAAAAAAAATTCATAGAAAAAGTAAACAGTCTATATACACAATTTTTAAATAAATAAAAGTAATTAAAATGTTTTAAAAGTAATTAAAAATATGTTTGGCACTAATTACATTAGGAGCAAAGACACCTACAAATTTGGGGAGAGTGGAAATAGTATTGTCCTTTCCCACCCCTCGCCCCCTACAGATAACTGCTGGTCTAAACTCTTTAATGTGACTTCTAAAGTTTGTGTACTCAGGATTCTTCCTCACTTCTCCAGCCAATATTCTCCCTGACCAGCCTGCCTTGGTCCTTAATCTTCATAAACTACCTGGATACCCGATGGATACAATGGTCCCTCACTGGTCTTTGTGGAAGCCTCTTTTCCTGCCGGGCATTCTTCCTAACCCTCTCTCCAGCTTTATCTGGCTAATACCTTCTCATTCAGGAAATTAGGAGTAATTTCCTCCAGGAAGCCTTTTCTGACACACCAATGAGACATGGCATCCTTCCAGAGTCCTGAAATTTCCTCTCTTCTAACACACATCACACTGCAATGCAATTTTTCCTTTACACCTCCGGCCACTCCCTAGACAAGTTTCTTGAGGGCATAGACAGTGTTGTGGTAACTGTTACAGCACAGAATGGTTGGCACAGACTTGGCATTCATAATAACTTTCTGAAGGAAAGGAAAGTTGGAGAGCATAAAAGACTAAGTGAGCTGAACTGTCATATTATTTCTACTGAAGGACACTATGGGGAAGGAAATAATGAGGCTGCAATCCCAAAATATGTCTCTTTGGCATAAGAACTATTTTGAGCTAAAGGCAATCTAAATGCAGCAGATTCAGGAAAGGCTCTTTGCCTCCCCCTCAGCTGCCTAAATGTATATTAGAAAGGGGGCCTGTGCCAAGAAGAGAGCTGTTACCAGAGATACTTTGTACCTAATAAACTTATCTGCATAACAGGGCAACCTTTATTTTCCAAACACCTCCTCTGCCTTTTGTAAATGGCCTTCCTCCTCTTTGCATCCCCAGACCCCTGCCCCTTTCCTTAGCTCAAGACGATATACCAGCCTCAATTACCTGGCTGCCTTTTGGGTCTCATATTTTCATGGGGCTCCCTTAGGTACATAATTAAATTTGTTTTTCTCCTGTTAATCTGTTTTATATCAATTTAATTATTAGACCAGCCAAAGAGCACAGGACAAGTTTTCCCCCGTCTTTACAGAATAGTCTGTGAACTATGAACCATTTATTAAACTCTGAACTGTTTATTAAAATTTGCTCAAATGGATCAACTAAATTTACACCAGTACAACCCAGCTGTAAAATAAAAGTTCTATCAAACACCCTCTTTTCTACTCCATGACTCTAGGTAATGCTCAACTTATTTGTCCAATTGTTTTAAAATCATATAAACATTTGTATTCAGGATCAATTTTAAAAGAAGGCAGAGTAGGCAATAAAGATAAGCCAACTAATTTTTGATTTAAAATTGTCCCGTTGGGAACCTATATGTTTATTTTGAAATGCTACCACTCCTCATACATTTCTGGGGATACCATTTTGGTGCTTCAGGGCCTTTTTATGAAACCTCCTAATAAAATCAGTGTGGTTATTTTAAATACACCCACATTGTATTCTGGACAAAATCGCATTAGAACATGTGATCATCAACTTATTTACTATTCTTTAACTCAAATGACTTGCTATTTTTGAAACATCAAGTCTACCTTAGTAAACTAAAATTTGTCATTATAAATGCTACTAAAAAAAAATGTTCCATGTCTCAAAAATTAAAAAACAAACAAAATAAGAGCTTCAAAATGATTTTAGGCCAGGAACTGGCCAACTTTTTCTGGGAAGATTGAGAGAGTAAACATTTTAGGCTTTATGGATCAGGTGGATTCCGTCACAACTAATCTACTCTGCTGCTGCAGTGTGAAAACAACCATCGACAATACTTAAATGAATGAGCTTACTTGCATTCCAATAACATTTAATTTCAAAAACAGCCTATGAAACACACCTGGACCACAGCCTCTAGTTTGCCAACATGTTTTGGGTAATTAAAGAATAACTGAAATAACCAGATAGCCTTCCAAAGTGATAGCAATTACCAGAATATATAATTTTTAGCTTAAGAAGGTTTTTTTGACCCACTGTTGTATAGTTATTAGTAAGTTATTTTATTTTATTTATTATTATTTTTTAATCCTCACAGAGGATATTTTTCCATTGCTTTTCAGAAAGAGCAGAAGGGAGAGAGAGAATCGTCTATGTGTCTTTCTCACATCCACAGATTGCCTCCCTCACGGGCCTGCAACCAAAGTGCATGCCCTTCACCTGAACCGAACCCGAGACCCTTCAGTCCGAGGGCTGGCCGATGCTTTAACCACTGAGCAAAACTGGCTAGGGCTAGAAAGTTATTTTAAACTGTTATTTTTAAACAGCATTTGAGGAAAGTATTGTATTAATACTTCCTGTCTCAGAGAGGAAGCAATTACAACACAATTACAGTTTTATCATTCAGTCAGCAGGAGATGTATTTTTGTTTTTAGCATGATTATTAAAAATAAAAGCACTATTTATCATCCCGTTGCTCTGAGAGTACTATTGTAGATTCCATTCTTCAGGAAGTAAACTGAGGTCAGCTCACTTAGTATCAACATAATCTTCGTAAAAGGGGGCGGGGCAGAGAATCAAGATAAAACACAGCATACACAAAAAACGTCAATAGCAAAATGATGACGTGACCAACAATTTTGGGGAGAAGTTCGTTTATCAAAAACATCAAAGAGAACACAAAATAAAAGCAATCTGCAGAATCTCTCCTTGAGTCCCATCTCCTTCCCCACAATTGCTATTCTAAAGAACCTCTACTTTCCTCGAGTCCCCAAGTCTTCCCCTGCCTGAAATATTTTTGAGATGTCAGGATGTCTCCTATTTCGCTGGGAAAACAGGCCCCCCTGTTAGCAGAGAATGCTTCTCCCGGACTCTCGTGTCCCATGTGGAGGGAACCCAGTGAATCTAACTCCTGGCTTCTTTTTTTTTTAAATATATCTTTATTGATCTCAGAGAGGAAACGAGGGGGAGAGAGAGAGATGGAAACCTCAATGATGAGAGAGTCATTGATCGGCTGCCTAGCCCGCAACCCGGGCATGTGCCCTGCCCGGGAATCGAACCCCGCTCGCCTGGATCCCAGGTCGACGCTCAACCGCTGAGCCACGCCCAGCCGAGCTGACTCCTGGCTTCTCTGCCTCTGTACCCACTGTCCTTAGGGGAAGCGGTGATTCGTGTGATGGTGAATTTGTGCGGAATAAACCAGCAGTCTCTAACCAGCCTTTGGATCTCTTGGCAGCCATCTGGCCCTGTACAGCCTGGACGAATTGCTTTTTCTCTGGCCACAGGGTGCACAGGAGGCCAGCTCTGCTCCTATAAGGTGTGGAAACTTTCCTTTGGGAAGGAAGTGTATCTCTGACATCTAAAGACCTCCAATCACAGGGACGTTGAGGAATATTGAAAAATCAAAGCCCAAACTGGGAATTTAGAGGAGCTATATACATTTAGAGGTATGACTGGACTTTTGTGTGTGGGCAGAATATTTTGACTTTGGCAGGTGTGTGGGCTTTTAACAGCTGTAGTCTGGGAAAGAAGCTGTAAGCCTCAGAGCATTTGGTACTCTAGCCACAGGGAAGGACTGTAGTTTATGGTAGTTTGGTCCGTAGGTGAGTAGCTACTTTTAGAAAGGCGGCCTCAGCAAAGGCTCAGGAGCCACAAGACCTTTGGCTGGGCACCTGACTGTGAGCAGTCCCACAGCCTGAGGCCAAGCAGGCAAACACTACACTTGAAAAGGCGAGACAGTGGCAGGATTCCATTATTTTAGACATTTGTTGCTTTTAAATTACATTCTCTGGATGCCCTTCAGAGAACAAAACAGGTTCTAACTTGCGATTGTTAGTGGCATTCAGGGCAAAGGACAAAACCTAAGGGATTAACTTCAGTGCACTTGGCTTGTCCACAGACTGAGGAGCAGTAAATACTTTAAAAATTACTGGCAGCCTGGTGGTTATAGATAAGCATCCAGAAATTTCTGTGCCCTGCCGAATCATGCCTGGGAAGTTTACAAAATTCAAAACCAGCGGAAATACAGTGTCTCATGGAGCACCTGGCAAAGATACTGATCCTCAGTGGAGTCCAGAGTCCTATGGATACAGGATTTATTTTATTTTATTTTTTAAAATATATCTTTATTGATGTCAGAGAGAGGAATGGAGGGGGAGAGAGAGAGAGATAGAAACATCAATGATGAGAGAGTCATTGATCGGCTGCAGCCTGCAACCTGGGCATGTGCCCTGACCCGGAATCGAACCCTGATCGCCTGGATCCTAGGTCGATGCTCAACCGCTGAGCCACGCCCGGCCGGGCTGGATACAGGCTTTAGAAACATGAACAGCAGTTTTGGAATCTACTGCTGCTGATTTTCCAACTGAAACAAGTCCAAAAATAAGATGAGAAACCTATGCTAGTCTCAGCAAAGTAGGAATATAATTTTATCAACTTGATAAAGAACATCTACAAAATACCTACAGGTAACATCACACTTAAAGGTAACAAACTAGAAGCTTTCTCACTAAGGTCAGGAACAAGGCAAGGATGTTCCCTCTCACCACTCCTTTTCAACATTTTACTGGAGGGCCTAGTTAATGGAATAAGACTATAAAATTAAATTAAATTAATAAATAAAATAATAAAATAAAAATAAAATGTATACATATTGGGAAGGAAGGAATAAAATTGCCTTTGTTCCCAGATCACATAATTGTCCATGTAGAAAGTCTAAAAGAA